TATGCACACCAAATTTAATTTCTTGATAAGAAACGAGTTTATTTTGGGTTCCTAAGAAATAAAAATAGAGTGATATATTTTGATACAATTTTACAGATTGTCCTAAAATTTAGATATATGCTCGTTGCCACTCAGTTTGAAAAAATAAATAAATTAAGATAATATTATTATAACATATAATGAGTGTATCATCAAAATATTAGATATTTGTTCACTGCAGCCGTTTAAAACTCTATAGAAAACCCCCAAAACGCAGCGAGTACCACTGCAAACATCCTCTAAATACCGACCAAACCCTATAAATAATGGTAATGTATGGAAAGTGCACCTAAGGCACCCATAAAATGGACAACTATTAAAATGATACTATTCTTAAATTTATACCTAAAATGGTTCAGTTTTAATACGAATAGCCATTAGCAGCATATACTTATGAATTAAAAACTTCACATAGTTACTTTGTTGTTTTTAATTTTAATACGACTAAGACTATAATGAGTATTATACAGTCGGTTTTGCCCAACTGAAACGTTTTTGTTATCATTTTTATTTACCGGAAATTGCAATCTTTGTTGCCAAATGTGACTTCGATGTAAGCTGATCGCCTTCAAATTTAGGTCTGAGATTTTCAACTGTATAGAAAGTAGCAGTATCTTCTGCAAGTTTTTCGCTAGGAATTGTTGCTGGCTGAACGGGGTCATTTACCATGATATAGGTCTCGATTGTGGGCAGACGTATGGCACTCTGATTTGTACACATTATTGTCGTACGAACCTCAATGTTTCTGCGTCCTATAGTGGGATTTTTTTTAATATTGATGTATTGTATTCTACGCATTAATTGCTCAATATTATGCTTGCTTTGTGCCTCTATATATATTTCATTCATTTTTGCATTGACCTGTACTTGAAAGTCTGTCGGCTCTTCCTCTGACTGCTGTTCAAGTTGCAATGCCGTCGATGTTAGCAGATGTTCGGCACAGCTCGTTCCACACTTAATGTCCTCGACAGAGAGCACACCGTTGAGAGATAGCTTCACTTCTGATATGTCACCATTGAATCCGTGCTTTAATCGGTTCTCTGAACTCTGGTAACATGCTCCGACCGCCAGTGTAGTATTAACTCCATGTGCAGCATGCAGGGGCCAATCATCGATGACCTCCGGATTGGCGTGATGGTCCTCAACGGAGCTCACAAATTGTACACCATCTATGAACAGCTCCACCTTGGATGACTGGTATACGTTGATTACATAGTAGTGCCATTCATTGTCGCAGACCTGCGCTATTTTCCATCTCCACTCCGCTGGACTAAATATGTTTAGATCACCGTCATTGAAATTCTTTCGCAACAGTAGAATAAGTCGGCAGTTTCGTACGAACAGTGCCATATGGTGACGATTCATTTTGTGATCATCCGCGTTGCAAACTATATGCTCTTTTACATGTTTGTTCATTGGGCTTTGATTACCATGGCGAAAGATCGTCACAATGCTAAAAGGCTTCAGCGAGAAATCGTGATGGTCAATAAACCCATCGGGTACAACTACACCAGCTGACCCATCGAAATGGAAGACCGGCTCGGGCCCCTCGTCATAGCTCAACTCCTTCGTCCAGTCGGTGTCACGGGGCAAAATGTCCTTTAAGTTTTTATTCGCTGAACAGTTCGATATATCACGATCACAGCCAAATGATATGTGCTTAGTCTTAATACGAATTGCATTAACATCAACAAGTGGATTAGGTCAATATAAAATTGTTTGAAGTAAGTAAGTATGCTTACCTTAAGAGCAACCGCTGCGTGAACGTTTAGATCATCAGCTGTGCATAATATATTGCACAAATCAAGTCGCGCATTTGGAAACAGTTGTAAGCTTTCGGTGCTACCGGACTAAAAATTTTGATTATTAATTGTATTCATTCGGGAAAGTTAAATTAATATATTGGTTTTGTGCACTATCCGCCTTGCTGTCCATCCGTCTGTGGTATTGTCCGTCCGTCCGTTTGTATGTTTGAATTTTTTCGGCGCTATTGAACCTAAATGCATTAAACATTGAACATATACTCGTATATACCCTTAATTTATAAAGTATTAAAATTTTCCCGATCCATATCGAAAAATACTCTGTAATTTTCGCATTATTGGAGAGTAAGCATTCAAATTTTATAATTGTCCGTGTTACCGTCCGTTCGTATGAACGCTTTTATTCGCCGCATCGGATAAAACTGCACCTTCTAAAGCTTTATAGCTAGAGCATATATATATTTTGATATGATATTTTGCACGTGAGCTAATGCTACGATTTCAGAAAGATGGCAGAAAAAAAAGCCATGGCGGATATATATACGCCAAAGTTTATATCTTCAACTGTTTAAGAGATAGAAGCATAGGATAGTTAGTTAGTGCTAACCTTTTTCACCGACCCAAATTTTATATATATATGTATATATATGAATTTATACATTTAGTAAATACTTACAATGTAATCGATGCGTTCTGGTATACCTAAGAACTTGGCATCGCATACGCGGCGTACCTTGATGCTCACCATAATTGGAACAGATTCTTTCATAGCGCAGTCGTAAGCCACTACGGATAAAATGTGATTGTGGGATACCTTATGAGAGAGAGGCTCTTTGTTTTTGATTGAGCCTTCGTTGTCGATTGTGAATGGTTCATCACTATTTAGTATCTCATATTTGCAAACATCTCCAAACAGTGGAGTGCAATCTTTGTCTACTGCTTCGACACGAATAATTTCATTATAAAGTTTACCCTCATCGACTTCGGTAACATATGATGGCTCTAAGAAGGTCGGAGAATACTCATTGATGTCGATCACTGTGATATGGACGTTTGCCGAGTTCGATGGCGTTCCATCGCAGTATATGGCAACAATCTCAAAATGGTAACTTTTACGCTTTTCACAATTGAGTGTGTGGCGTGCCTTCAGTATTCCAAGATTATTAACCAACTCAATCTGAAAATTAATTATCTTTTATTGACTTTGATTTATATTAAATTTTGTTAATATGTGATGTGTTTGGAAAATTTACTATCCTGTGTGTTCTTATAGTGTGAGGCCTCACCTGGAATGGAATTTCATGATATGGCTTTTTTACAATGCGAAAGTTGCAAATTTTTTCTTCATCGACATTAATTAATGGCGTTATTTCCACTAGAGTCTCATTTTCCCGAATCAATCCATGGTAGGACTTTTCTAAAATATACTCTGAAATCATAACAAGATATAATTTTGATAAAACATCATTTAAGCAAACTTTTTTATTTTTAAATTTAAACAAACCTCGTTGGATTAGATACTCGTCCTCATTTTCAGCAGAAGTGCCAGCATGAACCGAAACACCGACGAAACCAATTAATATTAGACCCAAATAGCCAAGATTTAGGATTTGTGACGGCCCCATAATTCTAGATTTTTTTTAATTAACAAATTACCCAATATATTGAGTTTACTAAACTCTGTAATTTCTGTAACGGAATAACGCAAACAATTTTCATAAGCTGCACTATTAATTATTTTTTTATTTTAAATCATCTTTAATCAAAATATTCGTAAAATATCAAAAAAATTACAATTTTAACTTCCGAAATCAGATGCATCTTCAACTGTATAAATGTGCATATGTGCTTGAATTTATAAGATACACATTTTACGAGATACATATTCATGCATGTATGCACACATATATCTGGATATATATATATATAAATAGATATTAATATGCATTCACAATTTTTTGTCGAATCCCTCATTTCTCAAATAGCGAAACCAAAACAATTCACGTTGATTTCAATAAATTTTCTTCTTTCTTTAAGTATTTGATTTCTTATTAATTTCTCACCCACTCAAGAAAATGTAATAATCAATATTTGTTTGTACCTAAAATTTTTTCTGTCCGTTTCAATATTATGTTGATGGCTTTTTTAAAAACAATATTAAAAATATTATCCACAATTCATTTGCTGATCATTTAAGCATTTAATTATTTATCCGAAATTTTTAATGCGTCTACCAAGAAAAGAATCTGTTGATTTATAATATCCTAAATAATCCCTAGCTGTTTTTAAGTTGTTTGTCTGGTGTATTTTTCACATCAGTTTTGTACACAAATTTCTTAATATCGATTGCTTATGATACCGATATTTAAATCGAATAAATTAATTTAAGTTCAGAACATCTCTATTTCAAGACATGCTATACTATTAACAGTCGGGACAGACATCAATTAGTTACTAATACCACTTAGTGGTAATACCAATTTATTTTGATACAAATAAGCCTTTTTCAAATCATCTTAGAAACGTATGTAACATGAAAAATCTTACCTTACAAAGAATCTCTGGTCACACTGTCTATGAAAAAGAGCGCTTTTTAAAGAATTCCTTTTAAGAAAACAATAAAATGTGAAATGTGAACATTGTATGAAGTATAATAAACAGTTTACGCATTAAACATTAACGAGATCTTGTAGCTGTCTCCATTTGATTTACATATTTAATTTGGGTACCACCTTACTTATAGAATTTATATACTGAAATATTTACTTAATGTTTGGATTAATGTTTTTATTTATTTATAGCTAATTAAATGGAAAGATAAATAACTATAAAAAATAATAAACCTTCCTAATTTATACATATGTTTGCCTAACATTAATAATTCATTGTAAACTTGTAGCCCTGAATAATGAGAGAGCAACAGAGAAGATGTACCCGCTGAAAGCTGTAGACATTATGCATTCAACCCTAGCTCTCTAAATGTTTGAATAAGCTAGCAACAGTTTTTGCCCACGATTTCATTCATGGCGCAAATGTCTGCGCGAACATTTTGACAAACATATACATACGTATATGTATATATTTATGTATGTGACAAAAAAACGAGCGCTACGTACACCTATCCCGGAATTTCCGAAGAAGGCAGCCGAAGCACGATTCGGCATTGAATACAAACACGTTTATCGGAAGGAAGTTAGTGAGCGGATATCTATATTTTCTGAGCCACTCTGTAGATGCTGTTTTCCATTCAAGCCAAACCGTCGCTCATTCATTCATATGTGGCGCGCTGGAAAAGTTAATAATTCATTCATAACTCTATCCATACTAAACAAACGGAAGGGAACTGCGACTTATTTCTTGTGTGCAATCGCGGTGAACTTAAAAGTGAATTGCATGTAATTCTTAGACTATTAATTTAAATTTAGGTATATATATATATATATTTAACTAGTATATATATCGTAGAATCCAAGTCGCCCATATCCATACATGTTTGTCGTTTAAAACTGAGAGGGCAAATTCTAGTTAATGTATTTTACGAAAGTGTGATTATATTATTGGACTAATATATTTGTGTAAAATTCAAATTTGTATGCTAGTCAAAAAAGTCGATGTCTATCAAGGGTGGAGTACGGCTCTCACCCCCCAGTTAAGTGTGTGCAAATATACGCGTGGGTATGTAATTACACATGTATACCTATATATACATATATAAACACAAATACACAGATATATTAAATATGTATACACACTTACGTGCTTCCATACAGATACATAAATATGCAGTATATATATCTGTATATATATACATCTGTTTATATAATATCTATGTATGCCAGATTTATTTGCAGTTAGGATGAATTTAATATTGTGGAAAAATTGATATACGTTTTATACACTTTATTTTTAATATTGGTATTCTATATTTTCTATAGTGAAACTGTTGAATTGGTCTATCTATTAAAAAAAATATAATGAAATAAAAAAATAAATAAATAAAAAATCACGAAGCAAAAACATGATTGTGACTTATGGGAAATCAACGCATCAAAGATATAATCACGTCTATATCCACGGTATGGGGCTATCGACGAAAATATGTCGCTTAATAAGTGGAAGAGCTTATAAATATTGCAAAAAAAAGTAATTCTTAATTTATTCAAACAATCAATTGAATTCGATTCACGTTTCAAATAACAGCACTAATATTTGTTATTGTCGAGCACCTGCACCAATTAGCTTAATGAAAATTTCGAAATATAAAATAATTAATATTTTCTAAGTACAAAATATTTAATACTGTATATCTTTTATATATCTATTTAATCATATGTAAGTATATTTTAATTTTCTATTATCTGCAGAGGTCAATTCTCTAAAAACTAAGAATTAATTCTTTATAATTTATAGAAACCATTCATTTTAAATTCATATATTGAAGGTGTATATTTAATATAATTGAATATTTTTTAAAATTCGATTACATAAATTTTGGGTATGTATGTATATATACATGTATCTACTTTAACTGTATAAATATGTATGTATAAAAAATCAAACGGGAACTTAATGACAAGAAAGTAAAGAACAATAGACCTTTTTAGGTGAAAAAGATTTCTCAATTTGATTAACTGATTGATAGATACATTAAAATATGCTTAAAATCGGTAACCTTTCTTTGTGGCAAATTAATTGTTAAGTAAATTTTGTGTGTTTCATTAGCTGTTAATGTTGTTATTGTTATTTATTTTTTCTTTCGCATGTTCTTGTATATATACATATGTATACATATATTTGATGATACTATAATATTATTATCTAATCTATTTTCTTATTGCAAACTGGCAGACAATATCAATATATAAAGAGACATATCTACTCGATGTTCTATGCATAATACACACTACTGGATTTTAATTAGATAATCATCAGAAATGCATTGTTATAAAAGTATGGTAAGTCTAACTTAGCTTAAATACGATTTACGTTACGTTAACAATTTTTCACGACATTCTCTTATCATATAATCATGTTCTAGCCAAACAAGTAAGAAAGCTCTAGTCGAGACTGCTCGACTAGGAGATACCCTTCGAACAACTGATATTTCAATAATTATTCGCACATGCACACACACGCATACACTCAGGCAGACGCATAAAACGCATTGGCTGAAGTCGGTGGCTTACTATGGGAACTTTATTGTTTAATAACTTTTCTTGTAGATGTAGTTTCTTCATGAAACTTTCAGATTATGATTATAACATGGATATGCATGCATTTGCCAAAGCACAAGTCTCTGGTACTTTAAATATGCCTTCTACAAAGGTGATGGTGAGGGGGTGGATATAGATGAGGGGGATAAATTTGAACAAAAATCGAAACTATAAAATTTGGCGACTCTAGCTTTAAAGATGTAGTAGATATACATTTCTTACTGATTTTCGATAAAGTTTTAATCGATAACAAAATAAGTTATCGATTTTTAAAGCAAAAATTGATATGCGCGTTGTATACACTGGCCAAAAATGAAGTGTCTACGCCCAGCAGGAGCGTGGTGTACTAAATTGCTTATGGAAAGTGAATGAGTATTCTGCAGTCACTGTTAAAAGACACAGTGCATAACCTACTATCACTCAATCGTGTTCTGCAGTTAGTAACGCCCGACAGCAACGTTCTTAATTGTTTGAAATATGAACAGGCACCAAGACAACATTGTATTTGCTCAAGGCCCATACTTTCACGTTCCGGGCACTAAATTTAGGGAAAGCAAAATCATTTTGCTTTAGTGTCGTCAGTTTAGTCCGTTTCAGGCTACTCTATTTGAAAGAGGTATAGACTATAAAATTTCTAAATAGCCTATAGCCTATAAATTTAACATATGCATTTACAATTCTATCTAGAATATTTTCAATTCATATAGTATTTTTTATTGCATCCTATGACACCGGCATAATATTTTATAAGCTAATAATTTTTTGTGTCATCAGAATATCGGCTTATTACTTTCAGCCATTCTTTCGTGTGCTTGAGACTATCAAAGAGAGTCGGCGAAATTTAATAAAATCAAGAAAAAAGAAGTAACAACTCTAGATGAGACTGCTCGAATACGAGATCCCCTGAACCCTTTAAAGAAGTGATATTTCAATAATTATTCGCGTCTCTCTGCATGCACAAGAAACATTGAGAGCGACTGCGCTTAGTCTGCAGTTTGGGCAAATTTGAAAGTGATTTGTGGAATACATTTTCTGACAGTGAATTTCAAGTCTCTAGCATTTGTAGTTTCGGATAGCTCTGCGGACCGACATATGGAGCGAGGAACGTACAGACGGACAGGACTCAGCTTGTCGATCTGCGCGCGCGCGGGGCTCGAGCCCGAGACTACGCCACCTCACTTTTGCAAGCTGCGTTAGCAAAACTGAAATAGATTCACTGCTGCAGTGCCATTTAGCAAAACTATACCAAACTAAGAATCTGCTAGAATAATAATGTATGTGTGCACACGTATACGATACTGATGTAGCTGCTGCACGTGCGTTTGTTAGTTGGCCAAATATTTTATTATTTTTTATTATTTGTTGTAGTGGTGGCGTCTTCGAAAAGTACAAAAGATCAGGTTGTATATTTCCTAATCTTTATTGGTAGATGAGAGCTGTGTCGCTCGTATAAAAAGTGTGTAGAGAATATGTATGTATACATATATGAACAGAAGTGTCAATACCAGGATAGGCAAGTGACAAGTCGTGGGGGCGAAGTACCCAGCGGGGCGCTAAGTACAGCGAACCAGTAGGAGAACTGGGTTATGTTATTAACAGAATGCTGTTAATAACATAACATTGTGTGGTTCGGGAGGAGCAATTCTTGTTAATGGGATCTGGCATTAACATTATTTTTTGACTTAACGGAATTTAATAAAACTTTTAGCATATGATCTACATAATATATTAAATATTTGATAAATTTAAAAAAAATTTAAAGTCATTCACAATTAGCTATAGTGGCATCTGACTTGAACTTGAATGTTTTTATTCGATAAAAACAAAACGGGATGATTTATCGAATTTTAAAAGCAAACTCGACATCCGCGCTGTATATACCGTCATTTAAAAAAAATTCAAGTCTCTAGCTCTTATATCTTTTGAAATCGACGCGTTCATACATACGGACAGATGGACGGACAGACAGACGGACAGGGCCAAATCAACTCAGCTCGTCGCCCTGATCAAGAATATATATACTGTGTGGGGTCTGCCACGCCTCCTTCTGCCTGTTACATACATTTCAACAAAACCATTATACCCGGATTTCCCCCAAAATCACTCCAGTTTTTCCATGCATTTTATACTTCGTATTTGCTCGGCTTGACAAAATCAGTGCGCTGCGAGAGCTCAAACATACAGATCACATTTTCATATGCTATGTGCAATTTTAGCGTTACTCTCTCTCACTTACTCTTTCTGTCTCCTTATGATCTTTTCCTCTATGTTCGCACAAGCAATTCCGCAGAAAAATTGAAATCTGTTTGCGACAACCATGCACACACACAGTACAGTCCCGTGCTACATTTTTCTGATCACTTTTGTTTCTGTATGCGAACTTGTCAACTTATGTTGAGGTGTCAAACTATCGATGGCACTATCGTCACTATCGAGCGACTGTACTATTGACGATTCAATGTCTCGATAGTGGACGATAATATCGTCAAAGGTGCGTGATTAATAATTAAAATTTTTCCTAATTTTGTATCATAGCTTGCAAATGATGGTTGATCGATTTTTCGAATATGCTCTGCTTCATAACATAACCGAAAAGATTGTGCAGACACAATCTCGCTATGAGCGGCACTCTTTGCTTTGTTTTGAATCGATTTTGGTCAAGTGCTTCGCATTGACTCATTGGTGTGAGGATCTCAAATGAGTGTCGCGTAAAGAGTGTCGCTTACACAAAGCCTCTCAGCAAAAGACAGTTTGACTAAAAAATTCAACGGAAATGATCGTGTGCATGCAAATATATACATACATACAATAGAGGACAAAAGTATTTTGACAACGCATTGCAAAAACTCTCTTTAACCTCTTATTTATTATTTCAATTCATTTAACTCGAGCAAACGATCAGTGCTTGACTTCAGCGAAACGAAAACTGAAATAACTATCTCGCTCAGAGCGCGAGCGAGCTAAACCATACGTGACAAAAACAATTTCTGTCTGATACAATACAAAAATTGAAGTGTTCAAATTTTTAAGGCTAAGAATCACTGTTTTTATTGCGACTATCGACCACAATCCATGGTACTATTGACCGCTATCGATGGTTTGGAAATTACTATCGTCCTCAATCGATGGGGCCCACCATCGATAGTTTGGCACCTCTAACTCCCACTCCTTCAATTCTTTTTTGATTGGCTGAATATTCTGTCTTGAGTCATATATGAGCGCACCGTTTTTCTGGAATTCACGCAGCACTCTAGTACATACATACATACATATGTATTACAAAAACTAATGACATGTCGCGCTCTTACTATTTGCAATTAGGAAAATTAAATATTTTAAAACAATTAATAAAATAAACAAAGGTTGCGGACTAAAAAAAAACTAATGACATGTCGCGCTCTTACTATTTGCAATTAGGAAAATTAAATATTTTAAAACAATTAATAAAATAAACAAAGGTTGCGGACTCTGGCGTCGAAGCCGAGACTTCTCCATCGAGCGTCGCGCTGCTAGTCGCAACGCCACTTAACTTTTCGAAAGTCTGATGGCAAAACTGAAATAGATTCACTGCTGCAGCGCCATCCAGGAAATCGAAGCTAAACTAACTGTTGAGAATTCTAGCACTTCATTCCAATGTGATTCAAAGAATGTGCTAGTTTAAGTGTTTGTGTTATTGCTTTTATTATACCCTGAACCCATTTTCAATGGGAAATCAGGGTATAATGGTTCTGTTGAAATGTATGTAACAGGCAGAAGGAGGCGTGGCAGACGTGATCAGGGCACCGACCTGAGTTGATTTGACCCTGTCCATCTGTCTGTCTGTCCGTATGTTTGAACGCGTCGATTTCAGAAGATATAAGACCTAGAGACTTGAATTTTTTTTAAATGACGGTATATACAGCGCGGATGTCGAGTTTGCTTTTAAAATTCGATAAATCATCCCGTTTTGTTTTTATCGAATAAAAACATTGAAGTTCAAGTCAGATGCCACTATAGCTAATTGTGAATGATTTTAATTTTTTTTAAATTTGTCAAATACTCAATATAATATGTAGATCATATGCTAAAAGTTTCATTAAATTCCATTAAGTAAAAAATTAATTAAAAATCATCAGATATTTGGCCAAATAACAAACGCACGTGCAGCAGCTACAACAGCATCGTATACGTGTGCACACATACATTCAAACTTCTTCTGGAACATTCTTTAAATCACATCAGCTGTTAGTTTGGTTTAGTTTTGGTAGATGGCGCTGCAGCAGTGAATTTATTTGAGTTTTGCCAGCGCGTGAGGTGGCGTAGTGTGTCAGCGGCATGACGCTCGATCGAGATGTCGCGGTTCAAATCCCGATCGGTGCAACTGATGTTAATTTTTTTAATTGTTTCAAAATATTTTTTTATTTTATTAAGTGAGTTTTGTATTTCATTTATATTTTTAAATACATCGAAATTTAAATTTTAGCCATACTAAATGGGCATTTTTATTAGTTGGGTTCAGGGTAGTATCTAGTCGAGCACTCTCGACTAGAGTTTTTTACTTGTTTTATTTATTTATTTATATGGGACACTTTATTTTTAATCAATTACTGCATACACAAGTGTTGTGTTTAATATTTTTTTTAAATTTAAGAGTACAGGACACATTGTCCTTTTCTACTTAAATATAATTATATTTTTATAATATGGAAATTTATTCTTTAGAGTTAAACATACATATGGGGCAAATTTATATAAAAACCCCT